ACTATAGCATCGTTCCCCTGCTCACCCAACGAAGTTCCTCTACCTTCTCAGTGAGGTTTTTGTGTCAAGACGTCAGCAGAAGCATCTCAGACATTATACATTTTGCCTTCTCTGTCCTGGAGAAGGAACACAGCTGCCTACAACATCCAGATCCTAGGTCTGACGGAGTGCTGCCATTTAAAAGCACTGAAGACACAAAGATTGTTTCACTTCTTTTAAGCCTCTTCCCTTCAGGAGACAGAAACTGCTACTTCGCTGTCGTCGTTCCCTTTCCTCTACTGACCTTCCCTATAATTTTATTCTTCAATCCTACTTACTCAGAGCAGACGTCAAGATCTGGAAGCGATACAGCGAAGACAACCTCTGGGTTCCAATCACGCATGCAGCACCCCAGGCAAAAGAGGGGATAAAACTCCAAAAAGAACCCAGTGGCATTATTTCCCTCTGAACTGCTATTCCCTTTTACATCAGCTCCCAGTAGCTAACTTCGGAGGGGTATTCCACAACAGCAGGGCTGCAGAAGTAAATAAGCAGATGCAAATAACTGATCACTATACAAAAAGCAGAAAAGTGATTTAAAAACCAAAACCAACTGCACAGCATCTGCATGTTTTACAGCAACTGCACCCAGAATACTATTTTCCTGTTAGAACCATTAGCTTTTCTGTACATTCTGAGACTTTATTATTAGGTAAGGACTGAGACTTTATTATTATTTCACTGCCGAGAGCAGGAAATGTAGCATGTTAAACTTATTAGAACTATGCTAACATACTTCAATTCATTAAAAAAAAAAAACTTTTAACAGTTAAAATATTAATTGTATTAAATTACCACTGTAGAGTTAGGAGAGTTATTGGCACAAGAGAACTTGCAGTAAGACTAACATTCAACTTTTTATTATTTTTTTTTAGTTTTTATTGCTAGAAATCTCCCCTGAAAAAGGGTGCCACCAAAGCCGTGACAGAAAACAAAAGCAATGCTAGACAACAGTTTAAATTACAATCTCCAGAAACATTTTACATCCCTACACGATTGCTGTTTCTATGTATTTTTTTCTGACAGCGCAAAGTCTGAAGAAAAAAAATATATTTCTCCAGTGCCCAGAAAAAAATATCTTAGGATGAAGTGAATGGTACAACCTAGTCTACTTCTACTTCATACTGTAAAATTATGTTTTGTTAGAAAAGGGTTATCAGCACGGCACATTTCAAAGGCAGCCAAGAAGAGGAGCCTACCGTCCATCGACTGCTGAACTCGTAAGTGAAGGTAAGTCAGAAAAAAGTCAGAAACGCCACCAGTCCAAACAGTCAAAAACCAGCGGAAGAGTTCAAAAGCAGCACGGGGTTATTTTTTCTAATAATAATAAAAAAGTGAAAGTATTACAGTAGGGTATACATCTAAACGACAGTTTTCCAGAAATCTTCCAGCTTGATTTTCAAAGCAATGCCAACTTTCAAGCGCTTCTTAAGAAGTGCCAAATACCCTTACTAAACTTGTATTTCAAAACATAATTTAGTTAGATTTCACAAGCCACGTAACACAGACGTGCAAGTCGCCTGAATCTAAATCTGCATTCATTTATTTAGACCACCCCGCATCAGGCTATTAGTCAGACAGAAACTTCTTCTTATTCCCCATTAACTCCTATGAATTGTGAAGGGACTTCAAAGCAGTCGTGCACTGAAAGTTTGGGTATTTTTTCTTGGAACCTTCGTTACTTAGAAAAATACGGCAAAGATGCTCAGTGGCCTGATGGCTCTGCTGCAGGTTTCTCTCACAAACACACAACTAGTTTTTTGCCCAGGTCAACACACGGCCACAAAGCTGGTGGCTGTGAGCTGTCCGTGTTATTTATGCCTGTCAGAAGTCCCACCGCTGAGCACTGACAGCTCTGTAAGAAATCTTTCCTGCTCGAGGTACCCCCGAGCTCTTTTCCCCTCAGCAGCCCGACTCCTCGCCGAACCCGCCACCCCCGACAACTGCCTCAGCTCCTGAGCACCTGCCCCTCTGCCACTCTGCATGTAAACACACGCGATTATAATTAACTTTCCCACAAGAATGCGAAGAAGCCACTTGGCTGGGCGACTTCAGGCCAAAAGCTAACAGCCTAATGCCAAAAACACTGAAAATTCTTTAAAAACTCCGTCAGAGCGGGGCTGTCTGGCGGGGGCAGCCCCGTCCCCGCCGCCCCCACCACACCTCCCCGCCAACATGGCCGCCCCGCCGGGCAGCTCCGAGCGCAGCCTAGCCCTGCCGCCACCGCCCCGCCCCACCCCCGTGCCCCCTCATTGGTTCACATCTCCTCGCCGCGCGCTCCCATTGGCCGCTCCGCACGTCGCTCAGCCGCCCAGCGGCTCTTTCAAGCTTGGCTGAGGCGACATGTAAACAAACCCCCTTCCGCCGCGCCGCGGGGCAGCGCCCCCGGCCCGCACCGGGCCCCGCGTCCCGGCCCCCCCCAGGCCCGGCGGGCAGCGAGCCGGGGGCTCCCCCTGCCCTGTGGGGGCCGCCCCCCGCCCTGCGGCCCTCCCGGGGGCTGGGGACGGCCGGCACCCACCCACCCACCGCTCCCCCCGGCGATGCTCCGTCCCCGCGGGCTGCCGCCGGTCGCCGGTGCAGCCCCGCGGCCCGCCCGGGCGGCTCCGCGCAGCCCCGGGGGCGAGTAGAAAGGCCCCGGCCCCCGCTGTGGGTTACAGCCGGAGCCTCCCGGCTGCAACAGGTGGGAAGCGGGGGGCTGGAGAGGAGGCAGCGCGGCGGGGCGGCGGCGTCCCGGAGCACGAGTGCGGCCGGCGGCACCCCGGGGAGGGGCCCCCTCACAAGGAGCCCGGAGCCGTCCCGCGGCTCCCTCAGCCCGCACGGCCCCGGGCTGCTCCCGCCAGCCTGCAGGGGCTCCCCAGCAGCCCGCAGCCCGACCCCGGCCCGTGGGGACGCGGGCAGCCCCCCGCAGCTCCGAGCAGCGGCACAGCCACACCCCCCCGGCTGTGCAGCCAGCGGGCGGCGGGGCTGCTGCGGCTCCGCTCCCAGCCGCTTGGCGAGCCCCAGCCCTCGCTGCCCGCACCCCCCTCACGGCCTCCTCCTCCTCCTCCTCACCCTCCCCACAGGGGTCTCCCCCCCCCCCCCCACCTCCACCTCCCCGGGGCTCAGCCAGGCAACCGTGGCCGCCCCCCCCCCCGCCCCGGGGCTGGGTGAGGCCGAGTCCCGGCGCCTCCGTTCCCTCCCCGCGGCCCAGCACTCACCGAGCGGCCGGGGCTCAGCAGGGGGCGCCGCCCCGCGGGCTGCGGGCCGGACCCTCCATGCGGCTGCGGGTTTGTTTTGTTTATGTCCCTTCCTGACGGGTTCCCGGAAATCGCGTGACTCGCCCCCCTCACGTGAGGAGGGCGGGAAGGAGAGGGAGGGGGGGAGGAGCCGCCCGCCCGCCCCTCGGCCAATAGGGTGCCGCCCCTCCGGGCACGTGACAGGGGAGAGGCGCGCGGGGGGGTATTTAAGGGAGGGTGGCGGGCTGGCAGCGGGCAGAGGGAGGTGGGAGGGTCGTGGGGGTGGGGTGTGCTCTGCTTGTCCTCCTGTCAGGTTTGGGAAACGTTCCCCGGGAAAGGTTTCGTGTCAGAGGGGACGATGCAAGAGCCCCGCTCGGCTCTGGGCGCAATTTCACACTTACAGCATTCGGCTGTGCCTCTCCTCGGCACTGCCTTGAGTTTGTGCTACTGCTACAGCCTACAGGTGGTCAGCCTCAGTTACTCACAAAACATGAAATTACTAAATAAAAGAGGCCCAGCCATTCTTATCATGCCACATGTGAAGAACTTTTGATTGTTTTCTTCACTTCTTGCAACTCACTCATCCATGTTAATACCATTGCTCCCCACCATACCCCACAGCACCAACAGCTGGAAACACAAATAATGCCTTTTTTTCCCCACACACACATGTTGTTGGTAACACAGCTCTGGAAACAAGGGGCCAGCCACCCACCCTGGTAACTCATTATTCTCAGCACAGGAAAGCTGACCTCCACGAAGAGCAGCTCCCTGTCCAGATACTTGCATTTCCCACACAATACTGACAAAACCAGTTAAAAGCACGCAAAATGACACTAACACTTTCTCAACAGGCTGTCAGCTTATGACTCGAAGTCTTCAAGACTTCACTTTCTTTAACCCTCTTTTTATTTCTTAAACTTCTGAAAATTATCAAAATCCCTCAGGAGATCAGAGCATTTCACAGCAGATCCAGGCTACCTATTTCAAGCACTAACAAGCTTCTCTCATACATATTTTAACTTTCTGCATCCTCTCCTGTTGTCACAAACCAAGAAACTGTCACAGGCTTTGATACCCGAGTTGTTTGTTAAACACAGCGACTGAATCTCTCTTCTAATTTCCTGCAGTCACACATACACAGTCTTCAGCAGTGTTAATTTCGGGCACACAGGTAGTAGGCAGTCACAAGGCAGACAACAGGTCACACAACATTCACAAAACAGAGGCAAAACATTCTCTTTTATCTTCTTGAATCACGCTACTAGCTGGTATCTGTTTCAAAGAAAATATTAAGCATTCAGATAGAGGGAAATTTCTTTATCTGAAAAGCATCTAAATATAAAATCAAGAATGGCTTGTTTGTCCGGGCTTTGAATTGAAATTGAATTCTTTGCATGAAATTCACCACCAGCAAAATATGCCGTGTGAACTGTTTTATTGCTCCTGTAGCTTCAGCAGTGAGAGCTTGGAACCTAAAATAGAAAGCTTTTTTTTAAAAAAAAAAACAGTAAATACTAATATATACTGATACCACTGAATATTAAATACGATGGGCAGATCGAGATATTTTAAACTGCTACATATTCAAAATATTCAACATCTTGAAGCATTTCTCATCCCCTCCCTATGTTATATCAATAGATCTTATCCTCCCCTCCCAAGTACATCGTTAGTCCTCAGCTGAACTCTGGCAAACTAGCATCTGATTAAAACCACAGAAGAGTTAAACATGGCACAATAGCATTTTGTATAAAGCAAAGGATTAGTTTTATTTCCAAGTACGAGAAATTTAAGGCTCAATTTCCCCAAAACATAACTCACTTAAAAGAAAAAAAGGCAATCAACATGTGGCAGCATTATTTCTCTTCTCCTCAGTTTCATTGCACACTTTTTTCCAAGTGCAGTCAAACAGAACAGAGGCGAACAGCACAGACGACAAACCTCTAGCTAGTGTTCCTACAGAGTAAAGTGAACAGGGAAGCTATGTCTCTGTAAGAAACATCAGAAATTTTAATCACACCTGAAGGTAACAGATAAAAATGTACAGTACTGAAGAGGAGTTAGAAATTGTATTAGGCACACTCTTAAACAGTATAGTAGGAAAAAAATAGAGGGCTTTTAACAAGCCATTTAAAGCACAATACAAGTATTAAGGCATTAATGCAGGCTTGGTATCCAACCAGCTACGTTAAGGGCATCTTTGGATCTGTGGAGTTTTTTCATCTGCAGGAAATCTCTTCTTTACCTGCAAAGCAAGAGGCAATTTAATTACTCCTTTCCATGGAGGTGATTTACTAATTGAAGACCATGTTGTTGAGTTAACCACAACTATTTCCATTCCACAAACGCACCAAAAAGTTATTAAGAACTGTAGGTAATTCATCTTTATGGAGTTAAAAGAACAATCTCTACTTCCTTGCTTTCCTTACAATTTAATATCCAAAGTTACGGCAGGTAGTTTTAGTTATATTATGAGCTCGTGGAACAATTATGCTACTCTTAGAAAGTTTCAAATAATTCTGCTGTAGCAGCATCCAGCCATCAAGATGACAGACCTTGTGCAAAGGCAGTTCATGGTCTGAGAATACACACTGGAGAGACAAATGTAAGGACAACAGCAGGCGTTGCATCACACAGCTTAAAAGGAAAGAGGCTGCAGCCCTTATTTACCACAGCTGAAGAAGTTTGCATATCCTTACATACTGCTCTCCAAGCCATTAGCTTGATTATAGTCAGCCATCTGATGCATCACTTAAATTAGAGGGATACTGACCACAGAGAAAGACCAAACTTCTGTAATTTGGCATAGATCAATCAAGTCAGCATCCATAGAGGCATTACTAGAATGCAGTAAGCCTTCTGCATGTGTTTTCAGCCTGTTCCACTGGTAAAGTTGAACAGGTTTGCTTACACTACCTTCATTTAAAAACAAAACAAAAAACAACAGTCTCTCTGCTCTGGGAGTTAGTATTTCATTTTCTTTTAACTCCTCACACTCTGTCCATACTAATCCATCCCCACCTCAGTTGAAACAGAGGCTAAAGAGAGAAAGGACTATATTGCATGCACCTTGAACACTGCAAAGGCACATCTTAGCCAAAAACAACTGATCAAAAAATAAACAGTAGCTGTATTTATGGAATTCTTTGCAAGGTCAGAGAGAGGGACCCCAACTCTTTCACATAGAACCTAATTCACAGCTCCAGTCTGCTGAGAAACTCATCTGGAGCCCCTAAGTGCACAGAAGTGACAGGCAGGACACCACAGCCTGCCCACAGCAGCCACCTCCCTGCAGCCAGACTCACCCAGCTCTGCAGGGGTAACTGGAACAAGACCATGAAGAACTGTGAGTACTGCAGTAGCACATTCCTACTACTGAAAGGCAAGAATGAACGTGGTATCTAACCATGGTATTTGAGGATTATTTTTTGCTTCTACTTCTTCTTTAAGCACGCTTTTCCCTCAAGGACTAGAATTTTCATTTTATTTCAAAAATTAAATCAATGTAATCACATGCATCAAAGGTTAAAACAAACTACTTCACGTAGCAGCAATGTGTGCACTACATACAATGTAAATTCTCCATTAGTAAGTTTAGAACCCCTCACATAATCTCTCTGTCCATTCCAGAACGCATTAGTTCCCTCTCCTCCTCAGTACAACTTTAAAGTGATAAGAGGAAAACGGAGATAAGCCCAGATTCTTGTAGCAGACGCCTAGACTACAAGTGTCATACCTCATCTCCAGTTGGTCTTTGCTGGTAGCAACACACAGTCCATGTATCAGCCAGGAGTGAGCCCAGTTTTTAAATCCAAGGCATCTATTTCTCCAGATAACTACACTTCAGGTCTCCAGTTTTTGCTAACTATTTCTGTGTTACCACCACACAAGAGCAGTGAAAACGCACCCAGGACATTCAGCTTGCCCGAGCTACCTAATCACAGGCCTCTGCTTGAAGCAGGGCCAAGTCTACCTTTATTGCTTGCTGCTTAGAAGAGAAGACACAGGCAAATCCACATGCCAGTGTCTGACACTACCCCAGTTCGGATGAGTCCTACTTTGAAGCAGTGGAGCTTTGCTTCAGGGTGAATGTTCAGGATGCTTTACAGCCGGCATTTAACTGAACTATAACATCCACTGCCATTTGTCTGCTGCTGCTGGACTTCTGTAAACAGAAGTTAAAGTAATAAGAGCAAAGGAGCAGGCAATTAAAGCAGTAAGAGGAAAAAACAAAAAACAGGTAAAAACCCTAAGGGCGTTCGACTACTTTGTGTTATCAGCATAAAAACGAAGATCATGGGTAAATCCTTCTGCAGCAAAACCTTCATTTGAACCTTCAATTCTAAACGTTGCCCTTTCAGAGATACCTGAAGTCACCGTGCTACTTTTAATGCAAAACTGTGTATTTTTGCTGGTCATGTCAGTAGGCACGCCTCACAACTGTGACAATGCAATCACCACCAGGCTGAGCTACAACTCGGCACAGCCAGGCTGGCATTGAAATAAAAGCCATCTGCAAGGTAGGTGCTGGTGGTGCACATCGACAGGAGGTGAAGAGCCCCTGGGCCTGCAGCTCCCTCTCAGGCTTCCCAGATGAATGGAGGCAACTGGACGCTGCCTTGGAAACCCGGACGGTTCTTGGATAAAATGGTGGTGGGCTGGGAGAAGGGCTCAAGAGTTGTAAAAGATTAGGAAATCCACCCATGCTGGTTGTTAATGGAGAGGCCCTTCCCTCCTAACTACGTTTTTTCGGTCGGATGAAGAAATGCGGCGTTCTCCCTATAAATACCTGCGTGCTGAACACACGTGACCGGGTGGCAGAGGCTGTCCAATGATTCAGCCCAAGCCTTTCACAGTGTCTGGCCAAGATTAACACCCAATATTTGTTTTGTTGCTGTCCCTGGAAAAATCAGTATCTCCTGCAAAACAGTTAATGATGCTGAACCTGCTGCTTACACTGCTGTTCAATTTCTCCTGAATCATTTAACATACCACACACACTAATAGATGTGAACATACTCACCTGGTCAATAAATTGCAGCAGTGGGCAGCCGTCCTTAAGGCCAGTGATATTTGAGGTACCAGATTGTTTCATTGCTTAACTGCGGCCCAAAGAGAGGGTTGAGTTGAGCCAGAATCGCAATCAGCCAACTGCAAGACAACCCCCCAACCCAAAACAGAGAACATCAGCCACATTACAGGACTTATTACACAGGGAAGGCTTGGCCAAAGCACAGGCACTATCAGAGGAGACAAGACAATATTCAGCAAGGGCTCGAATCAGCTCAAAACCTTGCTCGAGCTCACAGTGCCTGGATACCAGCAATGAAGACCTGGGACCAAATCGTCCCAGCTGAAACAAGTTTGTCCTCCTCCATCTGAAGCAGCACAAAACCACCGACAGCACTCTCACGTAGTTTCTCTTTGGCAGGAAATATATGACAGTCAGATAAACGTGGGTTCAGAACATAGAAACATAAAAAAGTCAGCCCTTTTCTTGGTGCCTTTGAAGCATCCTTTAAATAACCAAAAATAAATAAATAGGTGAATACAACCAAGCTCAGAGAAACCCACTCTCCCTCATCTGCTGTTATTTTCCAGGTACAGCAGCCTGCCCTTGCAAGCCTGGCATAATTTCCATCAGTGCTTGAGCAAAAGTTGATTAAACCTGGCACAGACGTCAAAGAAACAGGGACCTGAAGCAAAATTGTAGACAAACCCCCCAGAACATAAAATAAATCAGGTAATCAATCAGCACAACAACATCCTCATCAGGCACAGCCATCTTGTCATCGCAGCACTCCCGAACCGATGCTGCAGAAGCCACAGCCACCGCCCAGAACAAGAGGAATGCAGTTTGTGGAAAATATCCAGGAAAGCTAAACAGAAATAAATATTCCGCTGCTACAAGACACATTTGCTTTGTAAATATTACAAGGTTCAGAGAGAGCCATGGATGCTTCCATGGATTTAAGTCTCCGTTAAATGCTAACTGTATAAACACGGTTAGCGAACACACTGGTTCATCTATCTGCTATTTCCAGAACGCTTTGTAAGGAGGAGAAAAAGCAGAGCAGCTTTGTAATGGGAGCTGCCACAAATGGATCAGAGTGCTCAGGCAGTCATGGAAAATTCCACACAAACCTGGATGCTTTGACCAGCAAACGAAGTGCAGGTCGGCTGTAAGAAGGCTACAGCAGCCACAGGCAAAAGGCGTTGGCCAGACTTAAAGACAATGCATCAGTAATACTCTTAAACATTACAAATATTTATTTTCTGTGTTGCTTTCGGTTTTGTGCAAATTAGGGCTCCAATTGAAACGAAGCACCGAGCTTGCAGCAGTCTATCAGCCACACAAGCCTTGAAATACCCAACAGAGACCACAAAGCAACCAAAACATCAGCAAGACACCAACAAGACGAGCCAACAGCCACTAGGTTGACTTGCTTCTGGCCTTGCTAACTGAAGTGATGACAACGTATTTTGGAACCCTATTAATCACTACATTAAACTTACTTATGGTAAAAGCAAATTAGTTCTTAAAAATTGCACAGAATTCACTCTGAACGGTTCATTTTCAGAGAGAAAAGCTAGAAAAAGGGGTGCCAGAGCACTGTACCATCTGCCTTTAATACCCCGGACTACCAGCAGTGGGAGGAGGACAGAACACCGACAGCCTGAAGGACGCGCTTCTCCTCGCGCCGTGCGGCAGGGAGGGACGCTGTGCACCACCACCTCCCCTCGCTGCTGCCTGAGCTCAGACCAGCACGGCTGTGCGCTAAACGAGCTGGGAGCACGTTCTGAGTATTGACATCCCCCCTGTGTCACCAGGCTTTCAGCAGAAGCTGTGCACTTTTCTAAAGCTGTTTGTTGGGACCACGCTGGATGCCTGGCTCCGAGCACGGCAGCATTACAGGTCTGTAGCGTGTTCCTCCTCCCTGCACGGCTAGGGCCTCATCATTTACAGCTCTGAGCTCTGTGGCTCCCCTGTGTTCAACACAGGGCTTGAAAAAGCTTTCCCCGTGTCTCGCCAAGTGACAATCTATCGTGACAACGCAGAACAAAACGCGGCATTCAGAGCAAGACAAAGCAAGCCCCTGTGCCCAACGTGCAGCGTGCTGGAGCTGCTAAAATCAGGTATGGCGTTCGAGCCACCCACGGGTCCTCAAATCCTGCCGGATAGCAGCTACAACAGCTAGTGCTAATTACCCAGCTCATACAAGGAAACCAAAGTCCCCTTATGTTCTACCAGAAAGATTTTTAAAAGGTCTTCCTACCCTAACTGCCATCTGTCTGTGCTGCATGTTACAAATTAAGGTCCCGTTATCTCCATTTAAATGTCAAATTGGGCAGCCGTATCTTAATCCTTTTAGGATCAGTACCAGATAATATTATTTTTCAAACATCCTGTCCTCTGCTAGTAGAATATCACAGTACTGCTTCAGGAGCTGCTTTGTAAACTGCAGAAGAGATTTAGGCTCTTTAGACAAAACGGTGCAACCTGGAATTTCTGCAGCAGTAATCCCCCACACTTTACCTTTTATTTTTATCAGATTGTATGTTCTCCTTTAAAAGGTGGCTAGATACAAAATCTGTACACAAATTACACACACACAACAAATTCTGCACAGAACAAGCACATTAACACCACATGATCAATGTGGTTACTTGAATTGATCACTGTTAAATCGAAACACAGAAGAAATACATTTAAGTTGAAATGTGATCGACTCAAACTTGATTAAATTCGGTCTGATTCAAATCAATTTGTCAATCAACTGGTGTTTAATAATAACAGGAAATTTATTTTTTTCCCCTCTCCATTTCAACTGGAAAGGAAAGATCAAGAACACAAGAGTAGCTGCAGTGGAGTTTCAAACCACCCTATGAAGAAGTAGATGAACAGTACCAGCCACCTGCCAAGGACACACAAAGACCTGAGACAAGAAGTTATTTCAGCCCCTAATGCTGCATCTGATGAAGAATCCTCAGAAACCATTCTTTGGCCTTTCAGCAAGACTGGAACATTCCATACAGAATTCATGACAACACAATGACTGTGCGATGAGGCAAGTTCTGTCCTGGAACATCGGGTGCAAAATCTGCTTTTTGTTCCATCTTGGCAAGCAGAAACTACACAAACTTACGTGCTTAACTACTGATGGCTTAGAACACAGTAAGATTTCCTTCTTTCTTTTTCTTCTTTTTTTCAAGGTGCAATTGGAGAAAGCCAAAGGAAACACGGAACACGAGTTACAGCCCACAAGGTTAAGAATGAAGACAGAGGCACCCACTCACTGGGCATGCAAAAGCAGATTGTAAATCACGTTAATGACATCAGCTTTGTAATAGATCTGCTTCAGTACAAAAAACACTAGACCTACAATGAAAGACCACTGAAAATTTGAAGTGCTCAAAACACTAAGTCAAATTTAGGAAGCTCTGTGACAAATACATTCCAGATCATAATTGGGAGGATTTTGTGGATGCCACGTGGCCTTGACTTCAAGGAAACTGTCCTTCCTCAAAGAGCAATGACAAAACCAGCAAATTCTGAACTTGAACTGGAAGACTAGGACATGATTTCTGTTAAAATGCAGTATAGGAAGGAATTCAACAAGGAACTAAATTTAAATAAAAAACAAACAAACAAAAAAGCATCCCCCCAATCAGAATCTTACCATAATCTGAACCCCATTTTGACACCTTTGCCAAAATAAGCATCCAGTTGCCCATTCTTATCTGAGCATTTGGGACCTAGCATGAGGTTAGGTTGCTAAAGAATTGGTGCACAGGGTAGGGAGCCTTCACGGCCTGCATAAAACCTGAATATCACATTACAAAAGTAAATTAAATGTGCATAAGCCTGTGCAGTAGGCAACCCAACAAGGCCTCTCCTGAAACGTGGCAACACTGATAACGTGGATTTTGGCTGCCAGTTCTTAGGAATGAGTAGAGATGCATTTCTCTAAATATGTTAAACTCCTCACAGTATGTAAATAATACCTAAATACTCAGCAAAGTATAAATACTATTCAAGTAGTACTTGAAATTACTCAAGTAATCGTTTTATTACTAGTTATCCTGAAAGATCTAATTACTTTCACCAGTCTAATCTCCATACTAAGTTCTTTCCAAGTACCTTTCAAAGTCACTTCTGCACATAGCTTTCCTGACACGCCGTCATTAAACTTGTGAATGAATAATCCAGTGACCTGGAAAGGAGCAACATCAAGTCACTGCACTGCAGTACTCAACAGTACTTGCCACAGGGCAATGACACAGAACAAGAGGAATTCTGGTTTATTTTAATGCACTTTCCACCACCAGGAAAACATTTTCTTCTCCATGTTGAAGGCCTTTGGGATCAAGAATTCTAAGGGCTGTCGAGGAACATCATGTATCCAGGCCTCTGTGAGTCATTTGCTCGAGTTTCCTCCCAGATTTCTTACATGAGAAATGTACCTTGATTAAGAGGCAAGACAGTATTTATACTTACAACAGGTAGCAGCAAACAGCACAGGTCACCAGCATCGTGTTGATAACACTGCAAAAAGAACGAGACACAGCTGATTAAGAGTCATGTTGTGACTGACCACAAGATACATAGGAAAAAAAACACAAGTTCAGCTGTGATCATATGCAACATGACTCAACGTTAACGTTCTACTGCTTCCAGCTGAGCACACTGCAGAGGCTAAAACCGCACAAAAGAACTGACACTGGGCAAACAGAAGCATGCAGCAATATTTAGCTGGAGTAAAATCCAGCACAGGGAGTGTCCTTGCTCCATTACACACGCTGCCATGTGCACCAGCAAGTTATCCAACTTCTGAAGCTGGATTTTCTAATACCACAGGAAAATGTTTTCTTCATGTTCAAAACTTTGCTTACAGAATTCTTCCCTGTCAAAGAGATTTCAATTATTTATCATCGATGTAGATTTTTTTGTACACAGAACAACTACAAGTGGCCTTGAGATTTTATCTGCAGAATCAGTTTGCTTTCTTACTGAAAGTAAGAAAATAGTGACAAATGACAGTTAAGCTAAGAAGTAAAAGCCAGCCTACCCTTAGAAATGGCAGTAGTAAGTCTACAGAAATGGTTTTAAAGCAAGAGGATAGGAAATAAGTTTACACTGAACTTAGTAGCAAAGTGGGGGAGGTTGTTGGTTTGTTTTAGTTTCCTTTTGCATACGCCCAAAGTGAGTAACAAGAACCCGTGCTAGGTGAGCATCTTCCAACACTTTTGTGACATGGATAACATTCAATAGGTGTGTATAAAAATGTATAAATAAGAATAACCCATCAGTACACATTCATCCCATCAACCTTCAGACAAGGGCTACAGAACCAGCACAGCCTGCACAGAGCTCCAGGCGCCCCTCCTTCCCACATGGTCCCAGGCAGGAGCCATCACTTGGAAGTTTTAACTAGCACAATGTGAATTCCTAACCCTGTTAAACTCTGCACTGGCTTCCTTGGTTAGAAGACGAAGAGGCCAATTCAAACACAGCCTTTGGTTGGTGGTTTTTAAACGAAGAAAGAAACGAAACGAGATGAGAAGTTAGCGGGCTATGCAGTGTCAGCACAGAACCAAAGACAGGAGCGGTATTAAACGATAAGATTGAGGAAGAAGAACAGCAGCGGCCTGTAACTGTTTGTTAAAGGGTAAGATCGAGGAAGCAGCACAGCCCTGCAACACCCACATTTGCCAGAGCCGAGGCCGAGGCAGGGCTGTCGGCCGGTGCCCGCTCCCCACAGCCAGCAGCTCCCCTTCCGCACCCCTCCCGGGGACACCCGAGGCCAGCGAGGCCCCGGGGCACGAACCCAGCTCAAAGCCAGGGCTGGGGAAGGAATTACGGGCAGCGCCTCCGGGGCAGAAGCGAAGGCAGCGCCGGGAGCCCGGCCCCGGGAGCCGCTCCCTCAGGGAGCCCCCTCACCTCAGGGAGCCCCCTCACAGCGCAGCGAGGCCCGGCCCGGCCGCGGCTGGCGGAGACGCCTCAGGGGGGAGCCTCGGGGCTTGTCCCCGGTCACTCACCCGCGGTTGGGCCCCTTGGGGACGAGCCAGGGCAGGAGGGCGCCGACCACCCCCCAGAAGGCGGTGACGGCCGCGATGGGCACGGCCAGCCCGCTGTACGCCATGGCCGCCGCCGCCGCCTCAGCCGGCCTCAGGCACGGCCGCCGCGGGGCCGCCTCCTCCCCGCACCAGGGGCCAATCGGAGGGCGCCACGTCACGCGGGGGCGCGCACGGGAGGGGCTGCGGGGCGCGTGCCCGCGGGACGGGAAGCACCCAAGGGTGCTGGGGGGGGGGCAGGGCCGAGCGCGGCGCTGGGGGCACCCAAGGGAGAGGCTGCGGCACTGCCCGGCACATGCAGTGGTCACAAGGTGCCCTGGGAAGCCCTCAATGGCCCCACCTGCTGTCAAATTCCATAGATAGCAGCAAAAACGTTAAATGAAGGGGATTGCGGAAAAAGGCTCACAGCCAGAAACAGGTTGATTCAAGTGGCCGGTAACATGTTCAATGTGTGTGGCACACAGAATTAACGTCTTCATTTAAAACTGTGGGCTTCTCTAAGCGAATGTCAGAGATCAGTGGAAAAAAGTTTACCCGGCACTAGATGTGTTACTGGATTGTACCTGTCCTGCACCACTCCTCCCGGCTTTGGCTGAAACACACCTCTACAGGGAAAAGGTCAATGGTTTCTTAAAAGCAAAAAAGATTTAGAAAACTTGTAGGTTACTGGGCTTTTGATATAGCCACCATTAAGCACTAAACTTGTAAGTATTACTTAAAGCATTAACTTTAAGCATTAAGTATTTCAACGCTGAGCGGACACTGTATCAAAACTTGCTAACGCAGAAGACACAACACCAGGTTTAGTTTTAGCAGTTCTTTAATGGTGTCAAATAGAAAACAATCTACTCTTGCATCTTTTCGATTGTTTCTTCCTTGTATTTGCCTTTCTCCTTGCCAACCTGGCGAGATTTTGCTTTACGCTCCAAGATCTTCTTGCGATCTTTGTCCAGCTTTAGCCTTGTGATCACCACCTAGGGAAAAGACAAAGAATTCAGCGTCCTCAGCATGAAGTACAGCAGCCTGACAGCACAGAGCTAACACAGCGTGGCCTGGGCCCATCACCTCCAGCACACTACCAAAGCACAGTTTATTACCACACATTCTTTAAGTCGGTTTGAGTAGAACTGAGGTACTGAGCTGCCCACGTATTCCACAACGCTGCAGTGTATTGATTTCTCCAGGTGCATTCAAGCAATCAAAATATATGGACTGTGGCTTGGATGCATGGCCACATTTGAGCTAACTGAAGAGCGGCCAAATTTCGACCCAGCTACAGAATGAAATCATTACTTTGAAGTAAACCCAATTTCCATCATTTCATTGGAACGCTGTCTGTTACACCAGGCACTGCTCAAACACGATGGACACTGCATTAGCATACAGCTGACTCTCCTTCCCACCACCACAAAGGAAAGCAATGGATCCTGAGGATGTGAGGAAAACAGCCTCAAGCTGTGCCAGAGGAGGCTTAGGTTGGCTAATGGGATGAATTTTGGTGCTGGAAGGGTGGTCAGGGCTGGACCAGGCTGCCAGGGAGGTGGTGGAGTTGCCGTTCCTGGCGGCATTTTAGAGAGGTGTGAACGTGACGCTTTGGGACATGGTTTAGTGCTCGACTCCGGTGGATGGTTGGACTTCATGAGGCTTTTCCAACCTAAATGATTCTATTAATTTCTCCATGTTTTAAACAATGCTACCTGCATTTTGGAACACTAGAAAACCATGCAGCTGCTGGCTGCTGTTGTGTCATTGCTATACTGCCTGGAGTAACCAAACATCTGGCGTTACTGGAGGGAACAATGAAGTCCACGCATCACTGACTCGTACATGGAGAACGCTTTCAAGAACACAATCTGCTACTGACCAGTTGTAAAATGGACAGGAATCATCAAGTATTACTACCATGGACACATAAAAGATAATCTGCCCAATCCATCCGCTACCAGATCCTTAGCGACATTTTGTAACAATGCAGATGAAAACCCAAGGGCTGATTTTCAGCCCCTGGACAGCTTCAGTTCTTTTTCTGCCCCCAGAACTGGCAAAGAAATAAATACTTTGATATTATTGAAAGGAACTCTTTAAAAATACAATTGACATAATCAAATCCTAGAAATTGATATAGGCTGCAGGACAGCTAAATGCTCTTGGTTAGTTCCCCTGTGCAGTCCGGGCTCAATCATCCCTTTACATAAAAAAAGGGCGGGCAAGACACCACTGACCCATCCCACTGCCAGTTTGCAACCAAGCATTCCCCTGTTCCCATGCATTAGCAACTAGAACCTATACAAAGCTTTCCCAAGGTCCAAATCGCAGTTAAGGAGAACTTTCACAGAACCACAGGACCAGCACAAACCTCAATTTCTTCCACTGCTATTTATCAGGGAAGTAATACCCAGCTGTAGGTACACTGCTTCCATCAGTGTCACCTTGTACCTCAAATGTTAGTACTGCACACAGGTCATTAGGCTGTTTTGCAACCATTCTGCTCTGCCTCTCCCATACATACCAACCTTTCAGACCAGAAAACCTGCTACAACTGGATTTCCTCCACCAGCACTTCAATACGCATGCCCACATGGCAGGCTTGAAGCAGACTCATTTCATCTGCTTCAAACTAGGTTTCCGTCTAGTTGTTCTGTTTAATAGGAAATGTTTTGCTATTATGACCTGAACAGGCTTTGCCTGGTTTTTGCTAACTCTAAACACTGTAAAATACTTCAGGCTAAAACTGGATTCAGGCAAAATCAGTGCATAGCAGTTGCAAGAACAAATCACAGTTCTGAGCATCTAACCAAACATTTCCAGCACTTCCTTAGTGCAGTGCCAGACAGCAACAATGAAGGGTTGTTCTACACGATCCATTCCCAAAATGATCATTAAAAAAAGTAAAACTATTTGTGCTTTAAAAATGCCAAGCTCTTCCAAAAAGCATTTCAGGAACCCTCTGAAGTCTGTAGCAACTTCTCCACCAAATAAGCCTCAGAAACATCTGAGAGCTCCTGGTTCCAACCACTACTTCCCTGCTACTATGACACTGTAGCTTTTCTTTGGTTATTAACACCCATCCCAATCAATCTCAGCCTGTTATTCACGTGTCGTAACAAGGTTCTACTTATGCAAGTAGCAGATTTTTGATTTGCCAGCAAGGCCTCTTTGTGCACCACCAATGTCACTTTACGCACCTTGCTAGGATGGATTCCCACGTGCACAGTCGTGCCATTGGCCTTCTCACGCTGCACACGTTCGATGTAGATGACGTATTTCTTCCTGTACACCTGGACCACCTTGCCGATCTGCTGCCCTTTGTAATGCCCCCGGACAACCTACAAGAGAACATAGAAAACATGTTCCCAAAACTTACAAAATACCCCTGTAATAATTACTAGGCCGTAACAAACAGTGTCATTACCCCAGTAGAAAACCAGAACTGCACGGGTTGAGCCCCCAACTCTACTCATGCCAGAAAGCTATCAGTTACTGGATTCAGGTGATCACTAACACGGTAAATACCATGGATCAAAACCTTCCTTTTCCCTCATTTTGCCTGCAGTAAGACCTAATCAAGTAACTTCCAATCTTTTCAACCAGAACAGTCAACCTCAACAGTTTTACATCTTCACTTTTCCTCTATCATGGCATTTTAAAATAAAAAGGCCACCAACTTCATTCATTTCTGAACTGATCCTGCCCATAGCACAGGTAGCAAACAGCCTACAAAAATGAAATAATCATTTTTTTGCTTTATTGTTTAAAGTCTTTAATCAAGAGTGATCATCAATGCATGCAACTAAATGACACATGTGAACAACGCATATAATTCTACTGCCAGATTTATGTTCCTCTTATCTTCCTTCTCACTGGTGTGACCTTAAGAAATACTCAACAGGCCAAATCTATGATTACATTAACTTGTATTATTTTTACAAGACTCATGGCAACGCTGTAGCATCGATTTGAATTTGGCATGGAAAAATAATGAATGAACTTCAAGCATGACAGCACAGCCTGAAAGATACCTGGACTTCATCGTCCTTTCTGATGGGCATCGAGCGGACGTTGTATTTCTGCCGCAACTCCTTGGAGAGCGGGGAGGACATTATTTTTCTTCGGATGTGAGAAGGTGCATTGAAGTGCCGTTTGCGGTTCTTGCTGCGGTCTGAGGTCACAAATGGATTGAACTTCATTTTGGCTGCAGGAAGAACAACAGAACCTTGAGAGACTTATTACTCAAACCCATTCCTGTTATTGCCTGCCTATGTTAAGCACGCTAAAAGTTAAAAATGCAGTTGAGCTGTTTTTACTCCCACTCCAAATTTGTACAGCTTTACAATATGGATTTTAAACAAGGTTTAAGGCTCTTCCATAATTGACAATGACACTATGCATTGTCAAATGTGCTCTGTGTGTGCATGAGACCGTTCTTTCTAATCCAGAGCTAAGTGTACTCAGAGTGTGGGACATCTGATGGAGCAGCCTTAGTTTTGCACCAATGTAAACATCTGCTTTATTTATGAAGTGTGCATACATTTCAGACTTGCACAGATAGAATATTTGTAAAGCTTAGAGAATGCAATATTAGTGCAGTGCAATGTTAGACTTTGCAGCACGTAACAGATTTGCTAAACGAAGTGCATTTGGCCATCCCTAAGCCTCAATAACCACGCCTAACGCTGTCTGCCCGGGCACAGCTATGCCCTGCCTGACAGCCTGGCCCCGGGCGCTTCTGCTTGCCCACGCCAAGCCTCCCCGCGCTGCTAACCAGAAGATCGCAGCCTTCCACTGCGTTAGGCCATTAAATCAGCGAGGTCTGCGCGGAGCCTGCCCCCCCCCAACCCCGCACCCACCCCGCGCACCGCCCAGTGCCGGCACTGGGCCCTGCCTGAGCAGACAGCCCCGGCTGCTGGCCGGAGCGGCCCCTCCGGGCCCAGCGGCGCCCGATCCCGTCAGCAGGGCCCGGTCCCGGCCCAGCTGCCCGCCCCCAGGCGCGGCCGATGCCGGCGGATGGCGGCCGATGCTCGCAGCCCGCCCGCGGAGCCCTCACCCCGCTGCTGCCGCCGCGCCGCTCGGCCGGAAAGAGAAGGAGGCGCTTCCGCTTCCGGAAAGAGGCCGCGGGGTTCGCGCGAGAGCTCGCGAGGGGAGCGGGCGCCAGCAGCGCCCCCTGGCGGCCGGAGGCCAGCGGTGGAGGCGGTGAGGGAGGGGGCGTGGCCAGGCGGGAAGGGGCGTGGCCAAGCGGGCGGCCCTCCCCCGCCCCTCCCGGGCCCCCTCAGGACTCCCCTGAGGCGCCGAGGCCCGGCCCCAGCCCCCCTCAGGGGGACACTCATTTTTTACCCCCCCCCACAACTTCATTTTTTAGGAAATTATTCCCAATTGCTTCATTCTGGTAGAAATGAAGCGTCTCCCCTCAGAGCTGGGGAGTTGATTTCCAAAAGGGGGGCGCAAGGGGGTCCCGTCCCTCAGGCAGGGGGTGCAGGGCAGGAGCGAGGCAGGAGCAGCCCCCCAATTAAAAATAACTAATTACCGAACGTGGTGCGGACACACTGCGCCCATGCTCAGTCTGGCGTAACCCTGCGCAATTCAATCTTCCCTAATTACCTCAGTGTGATTTCCAAATACTGCGTGAAGCAAGACGAGACGGAAATTAAAAGGTGGGGGGTCAAAACCGGGGTTATTTTACACACCAACTCACCAAGGAAACAAAGCCAAAACCAGCGAGTTCCAAGCACAATCCACGCACCTCATTTAAAGAAAAAAAGGCAAAAAAAACCAACCCCAACCTGAGGTTAGGACACTTGGTACCATGCAAAGCCGAGCACTGAACGTCCAGCCCTGACTCAGGGCTGATTACAAAAGAGCCCCCGTTAACCCCGGCAGTGACCGCGTTGTGCCATAACGCTTAGCTCATTGGAGCAATAACTAAAAACAAACACACAAAAAAAGCCCTTTCAGATTGATTTTGCAATGGCAGTGCAACAAGAAAGCAATCAAAACACGAGAGATTTATTTGTAATTGTAGAACTAAAAAGCCTAGGATTTTATTAACATCAGGTTGCAAATTAAAAGGGAAAGGCGAGAACTCCTGAATAAACTCCACTGTAAAAATGCAAGACTTGTGCTTTAAACATTGCCGTACCGCGTTACAGGACTACAACCCCCGCCCCTCTCCCCCTTCTTCCAAGGACACCTCATCGCCGTATCCCAGCTGGAACTTCAAAGGGCTGTTCTAAAGCAGATACTCATTGCAGTCATTTTCAGCCCCAAAAGTTTGTGTATCACACAACCAGAAAGCAACTTTAAATGAGAAATAGTCAGAAAATTAACTATAAACATTGCCATCTACACTGCAGGTTTCACTTTTTACAGAGCAGTAGTTAAATGCAGATACTTGGTACATCAAACATTCATAAATGCATCTCAATTTTTTTCTTCTCATCCAATTTCCATTTTCTTAAAAAAAAAACCTAAAACTTTAGCAGTCCACACAGTTCTTGAACATGCCAAAGCACAGCTTCACAGCTTCCCCTCGAGCTGAAATTCCGACTCCACCACCGCAAACATCCCGTGCTGCAGGTTCTCATTGTACGATGAAGCGCAGCTTCGAAGAGGTTTATTTAAACCAGAATATACACAAGTGCTAAATATTTTACTTCCTACAGGGATGTCGTTCTTGGAGAACCACAAATACTTCCGTCAAAATACTGGTTTGAAAGAGCAAAGTCAAGATGAATGAACACCTAAAATCAACAGCTTTCCTTCCACTATGGCTTGAGATTATTGTTGCTTGCATTGATGTTTCAAAGCATCGTTTTATCTCTAGAAAATGTCTGAGAATAGAAGTGAAATCTAGTGACACATGTATGCACGGGGCAGGACTGCTACGACAGTAACCACCGCGCTTTCACAGTTGGAGAGAAGAGCAAATCCTTCTGTAAATACATGATGCAGCAACATTACCTGATCCAAGCCAGCCATGCCTAAAGGACAAGCGTGCCACAATGTACGGCAGACCCTGAAGTCAGCCTTGGCTTGGTAGTGCTCAAAGGCTTAGACCTGGCTTAGAGAACTAAGGTGCAGACTGCTTCTTCAGCAGAGCTTTGCCAGAACTTTATTAGAATTCGGTTTCCACATTTAGGAAAAAAAAATAAAGTGATTTATTACATTATTGCAGTGGACATTTTGGCAGAGAAAGCAAGCACACTGAAGTATGCATCTGTTATTTCCAAAAAAAGTGAAACATTTTCACTGATCTGGTTTAAAGAACTGGCCTGGACTGCACAGAAGGCAGCGTTTTATTCAGATAGATGAGGGGGGGGGAAGGAGAAGGGCAGAAATTACCCACCGGGGGCAGGAGACACGCAGGAATCTGCAACCAACTTTTCTAGTTTGTGTTGAAGAAATTATAAAAGGGAAGAAACTTCAGAAAACTGACAGCGCAATCCACCGTGCTGCAGGGATCTTCTCTTGCATCACTCAGAAGGATGCCCTGCTAAGACATTAACATTGCGTCCCTGAAATCCATCAAGTTCGCATGCTGTAAGCAAAGATCCAACAAATTCAAGAGCAAAACTAGGATTTTTTTTTTGCTTTAAGTTTCAGTTGATGACAGTGGATCAGAGGAAAGAAATCCTTCAGGCAGCAGGAGAAGGAATTGCAATGGAAAAACCCCAGGCTTCCACCAGGCAGCCGCCGCCACCTAGTGGGTACCGCTCGTGGACAGACGGACACGCGCACCGAAATGAAGACAAGCATCTCGTTTTCAAGTTGATTTTTGTAAATGGAAAAAAATGTATAAAATCTATCCATACATTAACAGATACAGGAAATTACACAGTCCAGTTTACACCTAAAGGAACAGCAATCAGTCCATAATAAGAACAAGGAAAAGTTCCAATGCTGTAACTGGTCAGGAATCACTACAGGGCAGAAAATGGGCCAGGGTAGGGAGGGGGGGTTGTTGGCCTTTTTATTCTTAGGGGGGTGTGGGCATGTACGTATGTGTGCAGATAAAACTGGCTACCTTCCCTACTTCCAAAAGAATGAGACAATTTCAACAGACATGTATTAGGAATACTTTTGAAATGTATTTGACTCTAGCATTAACACTGAATATTCAAAGATTCATATTATTACAACAAAATGTTTGGATACTTTGGCCTCCAGGAAAGGCAATGGACAGCAGATATTATCCAAGAGAAATCCTGCACCCGTCTTAGAATTTATACCATTGATTGAGTTAAGGATTTTAATTTGTTATGATTTTTGTCTATCCTGGAACACTTAAAATCTGTGTATCCTCGGCTCAGACACTCACAAAGCATGCAGAGACTGTTACTACTCAAGGAACATTTAGGAGGCTATGCAGAATGCACTGGTGGGCATTGGTCTCATTTTTAGTGAACTCATGTCTACTGTTGCATACAAGCCACGCTTGGCAGTAGCTTCCCCCTCACACCTCCATTTCCTGGAGGTCTCAGAAGACGAGGCTTGAATGAACGGGCATGGAAGTTCAGGTACCGTTTTAAGGAATAGAAGAAAATTGCTAGCAGGGGCCGGGTTGTGGGAACGCCTGCCCTGCTGTCGGTGTACCTGTGGGCAAACAGTGTCAGTCTAGGGCTCAGGAAAGATGCCTGATTGGATTTTAAAGAAACAGGTAGGCACCTTGAACCGTGAAGAGACAGACTTCCCGTGTTTTCCAGGTGTATTCAATATACACACACAAAGCAAGACAGTAAGCTGTGCTCATCCACCCAGAAGACTGCATCATTTTTCTGGACACATAGAATGGACAACCCCTTTTCAAAATAACAACAACAGTAATAATAATAATAATAATAATATTAAAGCAGAATTGCAGAGTCCAGACTGCTGGGTGGTCTGTGTTTAAAGAAACAAACACAGAAGAAAGAAAAAAAGCTAATGCTGTAAAGACAACTATTCCCTTTCCAAGCAAAGGCCACATAAAACTGTGTTGCTCAGTTTGGTTTTTACTTCATGCCACCTGTAAACACAAGACTGGATATTCAGTTTCTGGGAAGAAATTAAACCACTTTTACATCCAGAGTAAAAGAAAGGCCCTTCCTCTGCCTGGATCACAGATCATCCAGGAAAAAGTAGCTGGGGGAAAGCTTCCTTTTCACATTTGCTCATTTCATTAGAAAGGTCATATCTGAGCAAAAGAGCTTTCCATAAAAGCCCAAGACATTTCTTGATGTTATTTCTGCCCTCTGTCTCTAAAGCTTGCTACAGGAACTAACACTTTCCATTCCTCACCAACAGATACATCACCTTTTTGGCACCACGGGTGGAATTTCTTCCTAATGTATAACTTTGCGTTATATAAAAGTCGATTGTCTAATCATGCAAATCCAACAAAATCCCCAAAGTGCCAAAAGACAGCTTAACTCTTTGTAATCTACTACCTAGTTTGTACACTGCCATCAGAACCTCCCACAGACGACACTGTTCTCCTTACTTAGATCTGACAGTACATTTCATATATAGCATTTCAACCTGTTTCTGGGGGGAGAGAATCAAAATCTAAGCCCTGATTCCATTGATTTTATTTTTTTTTTCTTCTCAGAGCTCTGAAATGCATGGAAATTTCTTTGATTTGTTGAAGAGGTCTTCAATGAACAGCCTCATTAGAGAAAAACTTACTGATTCAATCAAATAGAAAATAAAGACAAAAACAGGTAGTGGTAGGTTTCTCAATCTTTGACCCTGTCCTTGGAGACGAGTTTCACTGCTACTGCATCTTCCCCAGCTGGATCTTCTTCCAGGCTTCTGATGCTGTGAAAATGCAGGAGTCAAGGATCCCAGCTACAGTAAACGTTCCCCCAATGATGGCACATATCTGAAACGCACAAAAGAGGAAATAAACATGAGTGAGGAGGCAAACATTTACGCAGCTTGAAGCTGAGAGGAAAGATATTGCCTACTGCTAGGGTATCTTCTGGAAGCATGGTAAGAACTGAGTAACAGCGCAGTAATTACAAGACAATCATTCAGGAAAATTGTTCTCTGTAGTGGAATAATTTAGTCTTATCCAGAATCATCACAGCTTGAGCCAGTCATAAAACCCGGCTCCTAGGAGTACAGCACAAACGCTGTTCTTTTCCAGGCTGAACTCCACCTAACAAAGCTTTCTAGAAGCTCTGTGTTGCTCACATCTTCCTACTGCTGTTTTCTATTATAAATAT